TCTTACGCGCATGCGCAGAAAGTTTGTAGCTTTGAGGTCCGGATTATAGATCATACCGGATTATGGGTGTCCGAATTAACGACTTTTGACTGTAGAACTTTTATGGAACAAAAATGCTTAATCGTGACGAGGATTAGGTGCGAAATTGGGAGAAAGTGCAGAATCGCAAACTGCTTGCCGCGTTTTTAAGAATTGCACATACACTGTGTCATCCATGTACACGTCGACCCATTTTCACTTAAAAAAAATCCCAGAATTGCATAAAAATGGCATTTTGCACACTCTTGACTTTATCCATGTACACTGTTAAAGTCCTAGCTAGTAACCTTTATCGCCTTACCAAAATGTCGCCAAACTACCTGTTACCATATTCCAAAGATTAGCCAAATATTCTTAATTTATCCACAAAATATCCAGATGAAAAAAAAGGCAGCACTAAATAATCTCGTGAAATAAGAAAGCTCAGAAAATACAACAGGAATTGTGAACTTAAGTGAATCGTCTGCTTTTTTACCTCGATGGAGATTAGAGGGTAAGAAACATTTATCATGATGTCAATATTTTGGTATTTCCGTTATGATTCATTATTATTCAGTAATTGCGACGTCATTATTCGGTAAGTATTTTTTCTTCAATATTTCGTACTCAGTGTTGAGGTTTCCAGAATCTATAAACTGAATGTTTATATTTTGAGAGGCAACGTGAATCTCAGGTCTGCGGATTTTCGGTATTTAACTGTATCAAATGTAAGTAATCATGGAGTGAAAGAAATGAGCTGGTTTCAAAACCTATTGCTTATTAAACAATTGATGGTTTCTGTTTGGGGGGATTTTAATGAAATTTTTTTTGTCTTCTTCCAGACGATACCACAAATCATTTGAAAGCATATTGCTACCAGCTGAATAAATTGAGTGATACCAAGAAAAAGAAAATGCCAGAATTGGTGAACAGAAAAGGTTTTCATCATGTTAATGCCAGACATTGTACAAATTTGGTAACTTGTCAGAAGCTTTTACAGCTTGGATATGTTTCCGCATCCATCATATTCGCCAGTTCTGGCACCTTCAGATTTTTACTTATGCCAGTTTTTTAAAATTAAATTGTAAAACATTTACTTCAAAGGAGGATGTCAAAAATCACTTGGGTTAGTTTTTTTTCGACTAAGGTCAGAACTTGTATAAGTGTAGCGTAATGCTACTACCATAAATATAGTAAAAAGCATTGGGCCACAATGGTCAGCTTATAATTTAATATTTGTGTATTATGAGAAAATTATTCTATCCCCTCTCCAATGCAAGAAAAAAAATACTCTCTGAAAAACTCAATAGAAAGGCATTTTCTCTCAAATACTGCTGAGAAGCTAACGGGGTTGCCGCTGATTGGTCGATGACATCAAGATCGGCGGGTTGGCCGAGTATTATATATATGTATGCTGGTATCGTCAAATGTGTATTATGAGTGCTAGTTTTCTTTCCTTCAAATGGTTTTAAATGTAAATGCTACAGTGTTAACTTATTTTAATTTACGGAATAAAGCATGAATTTTATTTAAATTAGTCTTAGCTTTATTTAAGGGAAGCAAAATATGCTTTGCCTTTATTGCCACTGCCAACATTTCAGACATAAATGCTGAAATAAAACATAATATTTAATTACAAAGTTCCATCGATCATGAAAATTAGTGGAAATCTCGCCAAACTTGTGACTGTCATTCCAGCAGACGTTTGAAGGAACCAATAGTTCTTCATTTAGTTTAATCAATATATAGAAGTTGCAGATACAGCACTCTGTTTTTTCACATTGCACAGCCAGTATTTATACAAGTTGCATTTTTCTTGATGCCAAAATCCCCTAATTTTGAAAAAACTATTGCTGTTCTGTTGAAGACAAATCCTAAATTTAAATCATTTTCATAATGTGACTGAAAAAAAGAGAAATCGCAGTTAATTTATATCATTTTTATAAAAATTAAACTGATTTATTGAAAATTAATCCCTTTACTAATCCTGTGTTTTTCAATTTGCATGTAAAAATGATCCCTTTTTTTTAACTGTGTACTTTCAATTAATGCAACAAGACATAAAAGATTCTACAAATACTTTTCCCAAATTTTTGAACAATTTTATGTTGCAAAATAAGTGGGAAATAAATTATGAAATTAATGATGAGTAGAAAGAGGTGTGGCATGAAACTCGCATATTTTCGTAACAAAACATTGTAAAGGTCACTAGCATAGCTGCAAAACATATTGCGAGTTTATTTGGAGTAAATAAGAAAAGTCTGTTAATCACAAGTAAACTCGTGATAAATATTTTCAGAAAATTCTTGATGACCGAGTTAACTCGGAATAATTAGGCAAACGATTAATCAGATCTACATAAATGTAAAGTGTTATGCCACACTTATCCATTATTCTCACTCAATCATACTGTTTGGTGACAGTTTTTGTTTGAATTGACAAAACATTTTCCCTTGCAAAACTGTAAAATATGTAATAATGGAAATGAAAACATGCAGAAATTGTATATTATAGCAAAGTTAATGAAAGTCCATTTGGGGTGGCATTAAAAAATATTTGGGAGTCCCATGTTTTGAAAACAAATTATTGAAAATTTGAATTTATTGAATGCACACATTGAGTTAAGAGTTAGTTTCAACTTTGTATTTTTGATGTAATCTACCAAATCATAAGACATTGGCAGGAGAATGTTTAGATATAGTTTCAACAGAGGTTATTATAAATGGATCAAGGTACTAGTCAATGGAAGAGAAGTTACCCAGTTTGAAGATGTGTGGAACAGTACATGTAGTGACCCAGTAATTTTAACTTTTACTTAAAGTAGGGGAGAAAGATTATTTTTTTTTAGACTCTGCAGGCATGAAAAATTTCTTTTAAACATGTAACACAAATACAGAGAGATTTATAGTTCATTGAAAAAGTGAAGGTAAAATAGAATTGTGGTGTAAAGGCTGTAGCCTTGGCTACTAATGTTTAAAATTAATTTATGATTAGGAACAGCATGAATTATAAACAAATAGCTAAGTTTATTGCATTTTATTTTCCAGCTATTGAAATGCGAGCTAAGAGCAACGTTTTGAACATAAAAAAAGATGTATGACGCTACGAGCAACGTTTTGAAACCAAAACCCAGCAATCATGAATCAGAACTAGTTGCTATTCAGCATAAAGAAATTTAAATATAAATATGAACTACTTGTTGCCATTCAGCATAAAAGAAATATAAATATGAATATTAACAAAATATTAAAGTTAATTTTATAAAATAATTAAACACATGAACAAATATATGAAATAAAAAATAATTATTTCTCATGCAATAACTAAGCCACTACACTACTCCCCCACCAGTAACTAAGTTACGTTACGAAGATGGAGAAATAAATAGTAACTAGCATTGCATTGTTAAACAATATCAGAAGAATTTAGAGTCAGTTCTGGAATCTAACAGGTAAACGTATAGTTCTGCCTGTACAAGAATGTTTGATTCACATCTGAATTTGAATCCGGTCTCTGCAAGTTACTGTAATCAGGTTGTATCAACTGGGAATTTTCCTCAGCTAAAATATATGCTGGTTTCAAGCGATCCAGGGATACATTTACATGTTTTCCTTTTATGCTAATAGTAAAATATTTGTCCTTGCGATCAATAGCAAGAAATGGAGGTTCAAGAGGTTTTCTTACCCAATCTATTCGCTGAAACACATGCGAACAATTTTTTAAGTCTTTATGTACAAATATCCGTTCAGATGAATTTTTACGAATTATTCTAGGCCTAACTACTTCCATCTGTGTCTGGAGGTTATTAGCAAAAGTCTCTGATGCTGTTTGGATACTTGGTTCGCTGAAAAACTCTCCAGGAAGTCTGAGACTCTGGCCATAAACTACTTGCACAATAGAATGATTTGTATCTTCTTGAATAGCAGTACACAAACCCAAAAGTACTGTTGGTAATGTGTCCGTCCAAGATATGTTGTTGTGGGCTTTCAATGCTGTTTTTAATGTTCGATGAAGGCGCTCAACTTTGCCAATACACGAGGGGTGGTAGGCAGTAGTGTGTTGTAAATTGATGCCACAGATTTGGGACAAAGCTCGTAATGTATCACTTTTAAATTGGGATCCACGATCACTAATGAATTTACTTGGCGTTCCGAACCGCGCAATCCAGTTGCTATAAAAGGCTCTTGCAACGTTCTCAGCGGAAATATTTTCTAAAGGAATTGCTTCCATCCAATTCGAAAATCTATCTATGCAAGTAAGACGATAAATATTCCCTTTAGATGGTGGAAGTGGTCCTATGAGATCGATATGGATGACAGAAAATCTTCCTGGTGGTACTTCAAATTCACCTAATTTTGTTTTGGTATGCCGACTGGTTTTAGCTCTTTGGCAAGGAATGCAGGTTCTTGTCTACAACTGTACATCTTTTTTTATGTTAGGCCAAATGAATTTTGATGTCATTAATTTCATAGTCGATTTTATTCCTGGATGTGATAAACCATGAATTCGCTGAAAGACGTGTTTTCTGAAAGCCTGAGGAATATACGGTCGAATATGTTTAGTTGATGTATCACACCACAAATATTTCCCCGAAGGTAGAGAACATTGCTTTAAATTCAAGGAAGTAGTGGTTTGCAAACTCTTCAGTTCTTCATCTTGAGTTTGTTCATCAGCTATTTTATCATAATCTATCGATGAAATTTCATTAACTCTAGATAATGTATCGGTCACAATATTATTCTCACCTTTTACATATTTGATATCAGTCGAAAACTGGGAGATGTATTGAAGTTGGCGAGCCTGTCTAGGTGCTGCTTTGTCAAGTTTTTGACGAAAGGCGAATATTAAGGGCTTGTAATCTGTATAAATTGTAAATACTCTTCCTTCTAGATAATGCTTAAAGTGTCTAACTGAAAGATATATGTTTAATAGTTCTTTATCATAGGTGCTATATTTTTGCTAAGTGTCATTTAATTTTTTAGAAAAAAAATGCTGTTGGCTTTTCCACGAGGAGTTTTCGTATTGTTGCAACACTGAGCCAATCGCCGTATCTGAAGCATCTGTAAATAACGCCAGAGGTAGTTCAGAATTGAGAAAAGACAACAGTGCCGTGTTCACCAGGTCATTCTTGCACTTTTCAAATTGCTTTTCAGCTTCTTCAGTCCATTCGATTTTATGTTTGTCCCTCTTTTTAGCTCCCTTAAAATACGCATGCAACAATGCTTGATTCTTCGCTGCATCCTTTATATAACGACGATAAAAGTTAAATATTCCAAGAAAAGTTCTAAGTTCATGAATTGTTTCTGGTCGTTTGTAGTTAGTAATAGCTTGAAATCTTTCTGGCAAAGGACGGGAACCCTTAGGTGTAATTAGGTACTCTAGAAACTCGATTTGTGGAACAGCAAATACAGATTTTGAAACATTAATTCTTAACCCAAATGTATGTAATCTTTCGAAAACTAATTTAAGGTGATTTTCGTGTTCTTCATGGGTACCGGATGCAATGAGTATATCGTCTAAAAAGGGAAAAACGAATTCTAATCCTCTAAAGACTTCGTGAATAAATCTTTGGAACATTGCAGGAGCATTTTTTTAAACCGAAACTCATTACATTAAATTCGTATAAACCAAAAGGAGTGATGATGATGGCCGTTTTACATTTTGTCTTCTTCTGCAATGGGAATTTAAAAATAAGCTTTGAATAAATCAATTTTAGAAAAAATATTTTGTACCTCTTAAAATATGATGAAAATCTTCAATGCGAGGAATTGGGTATCGATCAGGTACCGTCTGCGCATTCAATCGTCGGTAGTCTCCTGCAAGGACGACATTTGAACCATCCTTTTTCGTAACAAGGTGCAAGGGGCTTGACCACTGGGAGTTTGATGGACAGAATTATTCCATTGTCAAGCATAAATTTAAATTCCTCTTTAGCTATAGCTAAGCGTTTTGGATCGAGCTGTCGAGCCTTTGAATAAACAGGTTGACCATTAAGTCGTAATAAAATGTGTAACACCATGTTTAATTTGTGTAGGAAAAAGGTTAGGTTTAGAAATTTCGGGATATTTTGACAGTAAATTGAAAATTTTTATGGATTTATTTAATGTGGTTACTGCGTAATCACGCAATCAGTTAATTTTTTCTTATTTACATCGATAAGCAAATTATATTTGTGAAGAAAGTTAGCTCCTAAAATACCTTTTGTAACATCAGCAATTATGAATGGAAACTGAAAATCACGACGTAATCCCAAATCAAGAGTTAGCATTTTTATTCCATAAGTGGAAATATCTGGGCCATTAGCTGCATATAGTTTGTATTCAGTTTTACATTTATTCTGTGAAGTAGCAGGAATTATGCTTACGTCAGCTCCGCTATCAATAAGAAAGTGCAAATTTGATCTTCGGTCACGAACGAATAAACGAAATTTGCGACAATCCTTCATATTTTCTGCGCTGAACCTTCTGCAGATTCGAGTTTTCCTGGTTTTTTGGAATCGTTGTTTACCCAAGCACACGGAGGCCGGCATTTTTCTGGAATACATTTTGCTCCAAATCGAAAATGATAATAAGGCTTAATAATAATTACTTACTGAAACAATCTTTGCATCATAAAGCCAAGGAGCAGTTTGTAGAGTTAAGAAGAAAGCAAAGGAACTGCTGTGTAACTGTAGTAGTTTGATGGTATATGGTTACAATACCTATTATTTAAATCTATTTGGGCAGGGTATTTCATCGGTTTCAGTGTTGAACATCACGAGTTTTGAAGTTTTTCCAAACCCAATATTTACATAAATATGTATTGCCTAAACAAATCTGTTGAATGAAGTCTAATTTTCTAGGAGATACTAGATGGAAGCATGGACAAAGTACTATTTAAGTGTATGTGCATATGTAAATGTGCGAGGTTTTTTTTTTTTTTTTCAACTTCAAATGGCACAGTATGATAGCCAGGCATGCAGCAGGTGGTTGGTGTGCATCATAGGTGACTGTGCATCTTCCCCTCCACATGCTTTGTCACTGGCGAGTTCAACACACCATTTCCTGTTGAGTTGCAGTCATGTAAACATGGCTGTCGCTATTGATTCTCCTGTCAAGTGTGAATTGCAAGTTGTTATTCGTTTCTTGCAGGCAAAAGGGAAGAGTGTAGCAGAAATTCATCGAAGAATGAGTTGATTGTATGGAGATAGCTTTATGAGTGATGGCATTGTTTCTGAATGGTGTCGAAAGTTTAAAGATGGCCGAACAGATGGTGCATGATGAAAGGGTTAAGGGCGCAAGTCTGTCGCTACAAACAATATTGTTCAATGAGTTGACTAAGCAGTTAAAGAAAATTGAAGGTTCACTATAAGTGAATTATCGATTAAATTTCCGGAAGTTTCAAGATCTTCCCTGTACTCTATCGTTACTGAACAGTTGTGCTAGAGAAAAGTTTGTGCTCGCTGTGTCCCAAGGATGTTGACTGACAACCTCAAAACTCGCCAAAGAACTGCTGCATTGGTGGAGAAGATTTTTTAAAATCCATTGTGACAGGTGATAAGACATGGGTTCAATATGACATGCCCGAAATGAAACGACAATCGCAACAATAGATACACACAAGTTCTCAAAGAGACTCGCAAAATTCAAATGAACCTTCAACAGCTGTAAGGTTATAGCAACTGTTTTTTGGGACCAATAAGGTGTGTTGCTTGTGGACTTTGTGCAGCTTGGAACAACAATTAATGCAGATTCATGTTGTGAAACTTTGCGATGCTTACGGAGAGCTATTCAGAACAACAAAGAAAGAGGCATGCTGACTTCTGGAATTGTTCTGATCCACAACAGTGCCCTTCCTCACAGTGCTCGTGTAACCGAATGACTCCTTCAGCAATTTCGTTAGGACATTTTCAAACACTCACCATATACTACCAACCTAGCGCCGAGTCACTTTTGTCTTTCACCTAAACTGAAGCAGTGGTTTGGGAGGCAGCAATTCCAAAATGACGTGGAGCTCAAAGAAACCGTCACAACTCACTTCCAATCAGTGGCGGGAACATTTTATGAAGAGGGTATTACACAGCTTGTTCACAGATACGGCAAATGCTTCAATCATCAGGGTGATTATCTAGAGAAATAACATGTATTGTACATTACTTTTGGTAACAAAATCTTTTTTGTTTATTCACCCGTCTTTTCCTTATAGCCTATCGAAGGTTGGAAAATTATATAGTGATGTGTGTAAAACTGGCAGCTACATTGCAGTGGAGAGGGAGACATTAAAGGGAAAAACCAGTAATTTCATTTGTTAATAAATTATTCATGTACCACTAGTCTTTACTGAATAATTCAATTCATAAAATAATGATAGTGACAATTTGAGATTTTGGATTCAGTAGTAGAATTCATGAAATGTTTATGTTGAAGGTGATGTAAGATTTGTGAATGAATGAAGCTATTATACTTTTTACTATTTTTTATTTCTAGAATTCACATTATAAATGTGAAGGATTTACTTGTTTAAAATGATCTGAATATCACTATATAAAATACAGTGTTGTATGAAATTGTTTGTGTAGCTGAATGTGTGAATTATTTTTACATATTATCTTTCAATCCTGCATGAACAAATGTTTGATATGTGCATTCATTCAGTATGTAAAGTAAGTTTTAATTTGCATTAAAGTTTAGTATTTGTTGTCAGATCATTAAATAATATTTTTTATCCTAGGCTTTTATGGTTGATTTTCATGAAGATGGAGTGTCAGTAGCATTTGAAAATGAGTAAGTTACTAATATAATATATGTAAAGAAAATTATGTACCATGTGCATAGTAGTTCTGATGCTAGAAAATGTTTGGTTTAAACTGAAATTAATGCTCCAGTTTGCAGGCATGAATACTGGTTGGCACAGAATAAAATCTGAATGATGATGGTCCAAATTCACCAAGTAATTTTTCTAAGCATACTTTCAGCTCTTTATGCTACTGTATGGACTGTGTAAAATGGAGGATGTAGTAGTTTATTCACCTTAATCTTCAAGGTCACCTAAAAATGTTTTGCAAACGATAACTTATGAAAGAACATCTCCCTTCATAGATTTGTCAGCATGGCCACATTCCTATTGTTGAATTCACTTCGAAGGGTTTACTGATGAAAATATTAGAATTTGAAATAATGGTTTATTATTTTTATCACTGTACTAATAATGATATTTGAAATAATTTTTATTCTTTGGTTAGTATTGAAAATAAGGAAGAAATTCTGAGTGACATTAAAGATGAAAACTTGTGGAATGTAAATTAGTTGTGAAAAAGACAGGTAAATAGAAGTGAACCTTTTACACTCATTGCCAGAAAACATTTTAAGAAATACTGTCAGATTGTAATGAAACTTGCCGTGAAAGTGCATGCCAGGCTGAAATGCAAATAATTAGAAATACAGCATGGTTACATAAGCCTCCTAATAATGTTGAACTTCATTTTCTGTGACACATAAAAGTGTACACACAGAAATTATGCTGTGCTTATCTGTTGCAGAGGGATGCTATTACACTGTTTATTAGTGAATATTTACTGTCTTAAGAAATGTGTTATCTCTCTCTTTTTAGAAGTGTAATTGCCCTTCGAAAAGTATTAGAACTAAGAAGTCATTTCGGTTTGTGATTGTATTGTATAATGAAGAATTATAAGAAACACGTTTTGAATGATATGTCATTCTGAGCTATTTTCTTTTATTTTGAAACTCTAAAGGAATGATATTTGTTATGAATGAGGTGCTGTTATAGATTTTGTAGAATGAAAAGTTTTCCTGCCCCTGAGTTTCATATTTCATTTTAGAAATATTTTCCTACTTTTGAATGACTTTTATGCACACTTCCCATGTATACATCAAAACCACCTGTGCATTACACAGATGAAGTTGTTTGCATGGCCAGTCAAATGGAAAGGGAGAGTTTTGAGGTTGATGTATAAATGCTTGTCTCTATGCTGTCTGAAGCAGTAGGTTCATATTGCTGCAGTATGGGGAAAGGTTAGGATTTATCTGACTTCGACAAAGGGCATATAAAGAGAAAAATATTGGAGCACTTAATTGCACTACTTCTCTGCATAAACGTCAGTGTATTATTAGAATAAAGGAACAGCTGGGGGGGGGGAAAAAACACCCCTTATGCAGAAAACAATGTTGGAGAAAACAGTGCTGATGTCTAAAAATTGCTTTTTTCAAAATCTTTCGTAACCGATAATAGTGACTATCACATGAAATTTTGTTGATGGGTATCTCGGATTTCTATTCTATTCATTAATTTCATATTCATTCAAAAAGGTGAAATTGACTTTTTTTAAAGAAGGCTAAAATTTTTGTTTAAACATGTATGTATGTATGAGCAAATTATTTTGCACAAATTTTGAATTGAAAGAAATTTTATGAAATTGCAATTATTTATTCACTCCAATAATGTCCTTTTCTTCCTTATAAGGCCCCCCCACCCAGTAATGAAAAGTACTTAAAATAGGATAACCTTTATTTTTAACCGGCTAGTACAGTACAAAGTGTTTAATCCGGACTCGTCGGGTCTTCGGCGATTCCGGATTAGGGGTTTTTCCGGATTATAGATCATCAATTTAAATCTGGTAAGATGGCATGCAGAAATTATAAAATGAAAAATAGGAAACTGTAATTTATGAAATAAAGAGCAATTATGATCTAAAGGGTATCAAAATTTACAAAAAAAAAAACTTAATATATATTTGTTTACTTTTTATAAAAAAGCTTAATATATATTTGTTTACTTGTTAATTTTGCAGTTTACAATTAGAAAACTTGATGAAGTTATAAAGATCAACTAGGATTGACACCCAGTGGAGTTTAATTGTAAAACTGAAAGGTGCTGATGGAATTTTAAAATATAGTGAACTGTCTAGAATTATGTTGGCCACCTTGACAGTTCCTCATAATAATGCGGAGTGTGAGAGGATTTTCAGTGTTGCGAAAACGAGGACTAAATTTAGATCTAATATTAGCGATGACACATTATAAAAACTTTTATTAGTGAAAGCCGACCTACGTGACAATTGCTTAGAACAAAATTATGAAGTTTCTTTCTTAACGAAAGCAAAATTTGCCACTGTTCCATAACATTTGTACGAAAACTGATTAAAGAATCTTTTTTTTTTCCCCCTATGCAAGTAATAAAAATATTTTTTATGTGTAAGGTATTTTTTTGTTGCTTGCATTTAAGGCTTAGTAACTATATAAAGTTAATTCATTATTAAAACTATATTTTTATCATTTAAAAAGTCTTTTTAAGATTGTGAAAAATCTCCTTATTTTTGAGTGTCATAGGTTGGCAAGTATGCATTAAACTATAGCAGTGGAAAACAGCTTCTTTGGACATTTTGAAAGGGGAGTAAATAGCAAGGAACATATACACCAAGGAGCCATTACATTATGACCATCCTCCATCTATAACAATGGATTCATCCAGAAACAAAACCACTGCGCGTGTGCGGCTGATGTTGGAGTACATGAAGTGGCTATGCATTGTCTTTCCAAACATAACTTGATTAGTGACATAATGGGAAAAGCAGATCATTATGCCTCGGCAACTAGGAACATCAATATCAGAAATGGCGCTTCTATTGGGCTGTTCACATGCAGCTGTTGTGAGCACACATCGAAAGTGCTATATGGATGGGGAAATGACAAGTCGCCAGTCAGCAGTGTGTCATCGATGGCACATTGATTCCAGAATACAGCAGAGGTTGCTACTCATTGTTGACTGAAGAGCCTCAGCAGACGAAATCACCAGGAGCTACAAGTGGCAACCCAGACAGTGTTTTTCAACACTTTGTGCAGCCTACATTGCTGTCTGTGTATGGGCCTACGCAGCAGAGGTTGATGCATGTCCCTGCACTGATGGCATGTTATCGCCATCTGCTTCTGCAATTGGCCAAGAAACATTGGAATTGTACATAGAAGAATGGAAGAAAGTTGCATAGTTCGACAGATCACATTTCTGATCCATCACATCGATGGGCGTGGGCTAGTATGCTGATTTTCAAAAGAAACCCTGGCACCCGGATGCACAGTTGGACGCACACAAGCCACTGGCGGAGGTATTATGGTGTGCACAATGGTTTCATGGAGCACATTGGTTATTGGGACCCATAATTCCCATAGAACGGTCCCTGACATCTGTGTGCTACGTGAACATCGTTACAAACCAGGTTTACCCACTTATGACAATAATATTTCTGCCGGAGGATGGTGTTTACCAACAGAATAATACACCATGTCATAAGGGTTGAATCGTTAGGGAGTGGTTCGAAGAACATTCTAATGACCTTTTCAAATTATGTCTTGGCCTTCAAATTCACCCGACATTATCCAATAGAGCATTTGTGGTCTCACCTGGAAAACCAAATTCATGCTGCCATGCCCCCCTGCTCGCAATGTGGGGGAATTCTAGGACCAGTTGGTGAGTACTTTGTACCATATAGCCCCTTGTGGAGTCAATGCCACACTGGGTGCTGGTAGTTTTGAGGGCTAGAGGTAGTCCTACATGTTATTAACAGAGGGGGGATAATGTAATGGCACTTTGGTGTATATATAAAGGATTGTAGATTTATGTTAATGACAGTGTTGTGTTAATGTTAATTATAGAATTATATATTTTTTATAGTTATGTGTTATTTCAGCTGGCAGCCACAAACAAAGTTTCCCTTTCGCCGAGTTCGATTACCTCCTTCACAAAAAGAGGATGAGAAAAAAGACTTTGCAGAAAGACAGGAAGTTGAGGTATTGCATGCATCTGTTTGCTTAATTTGTAGTTTGTGTAATGTAACCATGAGACACTTAAATGATTCTTTTAATGCTATTGTTATGAATATCTGTAAATATTTGAATGCATTTTTGCTTTTGTGTATTATATTGTATTATTTTTATTTATTTATTGCATTCTAGGTAATCATTTTAGGGTGTACTTTTGTGTAATTAAATTAGCCTACATGAATCTTGTATATAATTGCTCACGCTTTGTACAAAATACATCTTTCAATTATGAATTCAATGATATATAAATTCTGGAAATAGCTCGATTAGCATGCAAGATACAGGCAAGAACTCTCCTGATGAGATTTAGTGGCAAATTTTATCACCAGTTTGGAGACTTTTGATGATTTCTTCCTAGTTTGGCAATTTTCTGGGCGTTTTGGAAAAACACCTTTTTGTAGTGTTTAGTAGTTTTTGTAGTAGTTTAGCTGTTCTTCCCTAAACTTTCTAAAGATCGGATATTGCCATGTAAATATGGCTGTGGCAGCCAGTAGTCGGTTTCAATGTTGAATGCTTCAAAGTACAGTTCAGAGTTAATCACGTGAATTACATTTAAAATTTTTCTGTAAGTAATATTAATAATCTGTGATATTTCTCATGTTTTAAGAAAGATTTTCTTTAATTTGCCTTCTTGAGTTATTAACAGCTACTATTTTTATTGTGTACTCTTTTTAATTGCAATAAATTATGGATTTCATTCTGCTAATTTGGAATGATTATTTAAAGATGGGTCACCATGCTTATAGTTTGCAGCATAGTTAGGACATAATTGCAAGTTTTTTTAGTAGTACTTCACATTTATTTGGAAAATTTTAAAAGTTCTATTACTACTTAATCTAAATATTGTTAAGGATTTTACTCTTAGATGTTTATTATTTTTTTAAAATTTGTATGTTTCTGATAAATATATATATTTTTTGGGAGTAGGAATTCAATTGAATCTGAGCTACCCCCTCTTGATAATGGTGAATCAGATTTTAATTGTATTTCTCATCCTAATTGATGTATTTTATATATTTCTGCTTGTTTGGGGAATTCTAGTTTGAAAACACTTAGTTGATATTTTTTTTTGTTTTTTGAGAAATTTTGGGATTTTACTGGTTTTGAATTTCATTTCTTTCGTGTCTTTGTGAATTAGGTTCTAAATTTGTTACTATTTTGTTTATAATATATATATAAATACAAAACAATTCTTTTGAAAACAAAATTTAAACATGCCTAGTATTTTCGCACATTAAGCTGCAGAAAAATTATCAGGCATATAAAGTAAGAAATTTAGAACTGATTTTTCACAAAGACTAGAAAGTGAAATTCATAATTAATAAATTTCATATATCTTATAAATGCAACAAAGAATTTAAAAAAGTTAAAATCAAAACTTTTCAAACAAGCAAAATCCCATTTCAAAAAATCAATAAAATTTAAAGAAAAATGAACAAAAACAGAACAGGAATTCAATCAACTTCAGTGCTACTTCTTCAGGGAGGAGGAACATTGAAATCAATTGAAATCTCTCTTCTACAAAAATCCTTGCTTTTCTGTATCCAGAATTAGCTGATGAACCATATCAATGTATTTCAATTATATAGTTCATCCAAAAATTCTGGCCCTTCCCCAATGCAAGGAAAAAACAAAGTAAATTCAAATTAGAATGATTAAAATAACCTTTAATAAAGAAAATTCTATTTTATTAAAAGAATTGCAAAAAAAAGTGAAAAAACAAAGTACTTCAGTGAAAAATTTTAAATCCAAATTTTTACCTTTCAGCAGGTAATCCAAAGACTAAAATGTGAGTGAAATTAAGAAACGTAGTAGAAAAAACCTAATTAAAACACAGTACAATGCACAAGAATTAATTAAGAACTTTAAGCACTATCATTAGACACCAATCTACACTATGAGATGCATAACTGAAGGTATGTACCCATTTTGGCTTCACTGGCGAAACTAAAAAAACCTTGTCAAGAAGGTAATCGTTCAAAAGCCTAAAATCTGGTACGAAAGATGCAAGTTTGAAACAAAAAGAAAAACTTTTAATTAGTTCAATGAAAATTCATTTTTAATTTTAGTTAAAGAAAGAGATTGGATATTAATTGGAAGAAATTTAAAGTAAAATCAGATTGTTAAAACTAAAATGTGAATAAAGAATATCATTTAGTGAAAAACTTAAATTATATTTTAAAACTACTTAATCCTTAAAAATAGACACTCAAAAATTTGCACAAAAAGTGATAAAAAAGTTTTGATAATTGTTTGTAGATATGAGTAAAAAAAATCTGTGAAGTTGAATTTTTGTTTTTTAATTTTGCAATTTAAAATTACAAAACAAGTTGAAAAAGGAAGTGAAGGAACTATTAGAAAAGTAAAAAGTCTTCACGTCATAGGCTTATCATGACGACTTCGAATATATACAAGGCAATGGTTAGTAACAGAATAGTGATTAAAATAAAAAATGATAAAAAATAAAAATCCTATATACTCTTTAAAACATCCTTTGTTATCCTTCTTTTGGAGCTTTCAGATAAAAAAATTCATACTTTTAAAAATATTATAGGGTCTAGACTACTCCAGATTTCTTTAATATACTATTAATGAATTTTAAAGATATTTCATTTTCTTTTAAAATTTTGGTGATAATTAGAATTTCTCTTTTTGTGTTTCTGTTTTAGTGTAAACGTTTTTAATTCTACTAATTTGGTTAAAAATAGTATTTGCTGTAACTTTTTTTTAGATATGTTAGAATTCCAATTTATAAGCTTATTAGTAGAAAACTAAAAATCTTTTCTTTTATCAAGAAGTTTAATTTTCTTTAGTTTATGAATACTTAGATCAAGATAAACTATTTCTGTTTGGTTTTTATTGGTTTTAAGTTTTAGACAATTTGGTTAGATGTTGCTGTTTTCGATGAGATTAAATTGTTGAAAGTAGTAATGTCATCAATATATTAGTATGTTTAAATGGACTGAAATCATTATCAGAAAGGCTCTTTCTGATTTAAATTCTTTAGGAAATAGAAATAGGTTACTAATATGAAAATATTAGTAATGGAATATGAACTTCCCATTGGAATTCCCTATTTTTGCAAGTAAAGAAAGTTTGAATGTTTAATATAGTTATTGTATAGCGAAAAATTTAGAAATTCTCTCCATTTTTGTAAATTCAGAATATTAAGTATTTCAGGAAAAAATTCTGTCGTATCTGAAAGACTTTCATGGATTTTTTTGGAGTGGCAGGGTAGTGTAGAGGTTTTCAAAGTCATAGTAGTTTATTGTAAATTTTAAGATTTTTAACTTCTTTAGTGATTTTCAAGTTGTCATAAATAATCCAGCAGAAGTTTTATCTTCTTTAACTTGTCCAAAAACTACTTAAAACTGTCCAAATTCTAAAAGTAGATTGGTAAAAATATTATCAAAATTCTTCTTGAAGTTTCTGGTACTATTGGTTATAAATCTAAATTCTGCAAAATTTCATAGATTGGAAAATCAGTTATTTGTAGTGAAGAGGGAAATTTTCCATTTTTTGTAAAAAGCTGAAATTTATTAATAACAGTTCTTTCTTTACTTTTGCAGGTACTGTAGGTAGAATTTTTTAGTTCATTTTCAATTATATCATTGTAGAATGTTTTCCTTTTTTCCCTTTCCTTTCCATTGTTTCCTTTTTTCATTAGCAATCTAATTTCTTGATCTTGGGTAATGTCCAGATTTCCTGTTATAATAGGCTTATTCTCTTCGTGAACAAATGGTAGAAATTTTTCTTCATCACATAATCCTGGTGCTGCAAAATCTTCTTCATTGTGGTTGGAAATAAAACTACCGTAATTTCACGCGTATAGTCCGCGGACTATCTGTGTTTAAAATGCGAATTTTTGAAGGTGCGGATAATACGCTGGTTGTTCACGGTTAAAATTGTTGAAATTTAAAAAACACGCTGTCGTGAACTGCCGATGATCAAATATAAAAAAAGCGCGAAATTCCAAGAAAACATTCGTATGTATCGTATCGATAGCAAACCATAGACCATAGTGCAGAACGAATGAGTAGTAGCAAGTAGAGCTCCTAAAATCCAGGCTGGCACATCAAGCGATGCCGGGATATGAGCCAAAGAAAGTCTTGTATGAGCACTCAGCGCAACCAGAGTCTTGTATCCCAGTATCCTTCGCACTGCTTTAGCACAACTGCAGGGAGGGGGAAAAGTAGTTCATGCGTCAGCTCAGTTTTTAGGAGCCATAGTAGCAAGTACCTGGAGTATGAAAAAAAAGTGTGATTCGTTTACTTATAAGCGTGGTTTGGCAACACCGAGTGAGTGGGGTCGAAGGTCACATTTCATCACCACTTATCACAAGGATAGCACGTTGCACAGTATTTTGTTTTCGTATTTTGTCTTTCATCTTCGATAACGTTGATGAAACATCGCCGGAGATTTACTGCTGAGAGGTAGTTGAGAAAACTGAAAAAGATGGAAATAGAGAAGCGGGCCGTTATTGGTTCAATCCTAGTATCCGGTGCACACGGGATTTGACTACTTTTGGTGACTTTATGATGAGCAGGGAAAATGGGACATATAAGATGAGTAGTTAACGGGTCATTCAAAGAAAATATATAGTTAAACATAGTATATACTATGTATATAGTATATATATACTATGCGTGTATAGTATATATATATAGACATTCTTTGGAGCATTTTTGGTGTTGGCGATAATTTTCAAAGTCACACCGAGGCTGCACCATATACTAGGATTTTACTCTGTTATTTTGAAGTAGACGAAAAAGCGGTGAGAAATTGGCGCAAAGAAAAGGATGTGTTTAAAAAGCATGGGAATATTGCCGTATTAAAAAAACGTAATTTCGGACGTATAGTCCGCGGACTATCTGACAATTTAAAAATTTTTTTTTATATAAAATCGTGTTTGCGGACTATACGATGGTGCGGACTATGCGTGTGAAATTACGGTACTTAATTTTTTGTTGTACTTGAAACAAACCAAAATTTTAGAATGTACTGCAGGAAATTTTTGTTGTGCTTGTTTAAAAATCTTAGGAAGATCATAATAATTTTTATGTAGAAAGTTAATGGTACAGAATTTTTTTAAAAATTTTTGGAAGAAGCACATTTGAATTTGGATTTTATGAAATCAAGTACTAAATCTTTATTGAGATTATTTCCTTTGAATTTATCTTTGACAAAATTTTGAATGATAATAAGATGTCTGTGAAGGTAGTTAAGAATGTTTTTCTTGAAATGTTGTTCTTCAAGTAAATCTTGAAATTTTCCTATTTCTTCTGGTACGTACATCTTTGCGTTTTTTTATAATAAAAAGACTGAATTGTTCGTAAACGGTAGCATAAAAGGCAAATTTACTATTAATTCAAGAGTTTAATCCATAGGGGTAAAGCGTCCTTAACTGCAAAATATATAGATATTCCTTAAAATGCCTATTTTCAAGATTAAGTACTATATCTAAAATTTTGATAGTAGTATTATTAAAGTCGTGAATTTTAAAATATTCAAGTTCTTTGATATTGGAATTATTACTATTTCTGCTGTTTAAAAATATTTTGATGTGAGATCTATGGTTGTTAATTCTAATATTAAGATGATTGTTAGTTTGTCCTTTTTTAACTAGATTTCATGTACAATCAAAAGTTGTTAATCTGGACACCCATAATCTGGAATGATCTATAATCCATACCTCAAAGCTGCAAACTTTCTGCACACCTGCGCGTAATACCTTTACGCATGCACATATGCGTGTACGCAAGCGCATAATACGTTTACGCTATGCATAATACGTTTACGCTATGCATAATATGTTTACGCATGCGTGTTTAATGTATAACGGACGGTATAAGCTAAGCTAAAATTATCTAAATATCTATTTCAGTTAATGTTGCAGATTGCGTTGTTCCTTAATCTTCGAATTGGATCCGGCTTATTATTTTTTGCAGACTGTTAGAGTAATTTTATAAAAGTAAGTTGGAACTTTCCATTATGTCAAATAGAATTTACGATGCTGGATCTACAAAGGGAAAGCATGTTTCGATGTCCATCAAACAAAAAGTGGAATTGCTGCGAAAAATTGATAAAGGCTCCTTTGTTTCTCTAACCATTCCGAAATCTGTCGATCAATTTCACGCTGCTCTGCGCAAGGGGTGGGGTATCACGGCGTGCAATGAACTGGAAGTTGATCTGTCAGCACTATCCTTATCTTTAGGGCAGATGTTTTTTATTTTATTTGGCTTATAATTCCTTACTAAATGTAGTATTTCATCTCGGTGTACTCCATCTTTGATATAATTTAAATCAAATGCCTCATCATTATAAGTATCACGAATACAAATCAAATAGTTTTCTGGTTGCAATTTTCTAATTTCGAATATGTGTAATGTATGCTTTACGCATGAAAGAAATGTTTAATAAAGTAAACAAATAAATATCAAGCTTTTTTTTTTTTTTTTGTAAATTTTGATACTCTTTAGATGATAATTGCTCTTTATTTCATAAATTACGGTTTCATATTTTTAATTTTATAATATCTCCATGCCATCTTTCCAGATTTAAACTGATGATCTATAATCTGGAAAAATCGATAATCCGGAATCGCCGAAGTCCCGACGAGTCCGGATTAAAGGCTTTTGACTGTATTACGTGTAATAGAGTAAATGCAATTAAATGTTTTCCAGAGTGTCTGTTGTTTAGTTGCTGTAGGGCTGAGAGAAGTATCATGTTAATCAGTTGGAACTCTTGCATTCCTTTATTACAATATTCTTTTTTATGAGAAAGACTTAAAAATAATTAGGGTGCTAGCCTAAATTACAGTAAAGTTTACAGATGAAATCTTTAACCCTTGTCTTTGTGATGTTAGTTCTAATCCCTAAATTTGTAAAACTATTAAAATAGTATAAGCACTAATAGCTGCTTCTTGTATTTTATAATTACAAAACAATTCTTTTGAAAATAAAATTTCTCACATTAAGCTGCAAAAAAATTATCATTAAAGACATAAAGTAAGAAATTTAGAACTAATTTTTCACAAAGACCAAGAAGTGACATTAATAAATTTCATCAACAATATTAATAATTGCATCCTTGTAAAGGGGAACTAATTTAAGTCTTTGCAGAATTTAAAATTCTTTTTCAGGACTCTAAGTAATAATTTTTTTGTAATTTTACTGTATTTTAATCCTTTTTTGTGTGTGCATATAGGTTTTTTCTCGTTCCAATGATCAAGAAGCTTGTGGTTGGTGGAAAGCTCTAGTTAAAATGTCCAAAGGAGGTTTTCATGTTGTGGAATACGTTGGTTGGGAAACTACATGTACTGAAATTGTTCCAAGTGACAGACTTAGAACAAAAAATACGAAGTTAGTTCAAAAAAGGTGTATTTGTTGAAAAAATTTACAGAATGTCTAATGATTCATATATCCTTATCATTATTATGCAATGAATTTAATGTATGTTGTTTTAATCTCTTAAGAATTAAAAAAAATAATGTAAATATATATGTACATCTATCTATCTCTATATATACACACATATACTATTTCAGCAGATTTATTAAAAATGTTCCCAGGAATACTATATGATTACTTTATTTGTTATAAAAGTTTTCCTACAGTTCAGCTAGTATTAAAGTTTTGTTGTTTGCGTACAAGCTGTGCTTCGGAGTCTGGCATTTTGTGCTATTTTTGTCCTTATATTTATTGTATGGTAAATGTTTCTTGATATTGCTGGAAACTGAACATTGCAACACGTAAGGAAAAAAAGGTAAAAAGATTAAAGAAATAAAAAAAGGCCCTTCAAACATTTGCTAAAAGGAAACTAAAGTTAATGTTGTTATACTTTATTTCCCGATAATCTTTATAGAAATTATATGAACACTCAATATCTTCCACTATGTAAGGATTGAAAAAAATTTCTTTAAAGTGTTTGGATATTTCTTTGAAGTGTGTTGGATACTGGGCTCATGGGTGATTGTGGTATGTTGCTAAGACTTCCCACTACATTCCTCCCACAGCAAGTTTTCTCACCTACTCTACCTGCACAATGTTCCAGAGCCAGTCTGGTTACTAAAGAGCAATCTGTGTAGTTTATGCAATGTATGTAAATTGTAATGCAAGATTTTGGCTTAAATTACCAAAGTTCTTTTTTTTTTTAAATTCCGAATACCTTTGCCAGTTTATACCTGGATTTCTTTTCTCGTGATGATGACTTAAGCACTTTTCAAGATGAGTATATGTATTTGTACATGCTTAAAACTATTGGAACAAATATTGATAAACGTATGTGTGTAGGATGGAGAGTTAATATAACCTTTGTGATGCAAACTTTCAGGCTGCATTATAGAAAGCAGATTTGTAGGAAGCTTTATTTAGCAGAACAACAACCTGATTTAATATTCATCAGAGCTGTTAAAAACTTGTATAATGACCACATTTACTTGGAATGTAGTATAAATGCATCTGATGTATAATAAAATCTGTAGATCTTAATTTCATTGTACAGTGTATTGTTTTTCAAAATATTTGAAAAACTTTCCTCTCAGCACTATGGATGGAAAATTCCATATAGAAGGGTGGCTTTTATATTCACACATGGAAATTTCTCCCAGCTTTTAATGTATCCGATTTTGTGTTGAATGTATATTGGAAGAAAAATCAATGTACAAAGTGAGAGTCGTGTTTTAAGTATTATAAAAAAAATACTATTTATTCATGACATTTTAAGGAACTTGAAATTTCAGGGCTAAACCCATAACACTCAAAAGGTTAAACTTCTCTGTATTTGGGCAAGTTGTGAAATGATGTCTTGTTTAACATGATCTTTACTTTTTTGGAGTGAAGGTTAAATAAACTGTAATATGAGTGGAAACTTGGAAATTGAGATTGTCAACTTGAGTATGTGTTATAAGCTGTAAAATTTACTTTATTCTAAGGTTAGAAAGTGAATGCATTTAATCTTTTTATGAAGTTTTTAATTTTCATTCACATTAAAATAGGCTGTAATGCTCTTAAGACTTTGTCATAAGTTGAGTTTAACTCAGCACAATGAATATTTTCTACATAATTACTAGGTACATTTAGGGCTTTGCAAAATCTTCATTTCACAGTAGCTAGCATTCAGGGCTATCAAGTTCACTCTAATCGGCAATTTACCTCATGAGATTGTCCTAATAAAATTAATACTTTCATTTTAAATTAGAAATATCTAGCTGCATATCTCTCTACAAGATTAATTTTGTTGATGAAAATTATTATACTTATTTGGCACTTCTTAGATATGCATAAGGTTGTTGCAAATGAAATATCCAGTTTTAAGTATGATTGTAGAAAAGGAAATTAAAAAGAGGAATAGCTGTTTAAGTGATTTCTGGTGGCATCAGTGCATTGTTACCAATATATGGCAAGGCCTTAATACCACGTTTGTAAAAATGAGCCCAGTTAATTAATGCATAATTGGAAAAGCATGTGTTCTTCAAAAATGGCTCAGATGCCAGGGAAAAGCATAATCTGTTGGGGGAAATGTCAGGAGAATATTTGGAAAGCGAGATCCAGTTTTGTATCCCAAATTATTCATTTGCCTATATTTTTGAGATTGCCAAATGTAGTCGTAAGTTAGCTATAGGTTTCCAAGTCTATTCACGAGTGCTGATTGGTTAAAGTATGTACAATTTGTCATTCATTTCTTTGCCACAAATCCGTCCACTATCAATCTACATTTTCATTTCATCTCGGGGCAAGGTTTGAGTAGTGAATAATACCAATGGCAGATCAACATGGGGAAAAGTCATTAGATGCAAAGCAGTCTTTGGAGACCTTTCTGGAGAGTCTTTTACCCTATCACTGCAGCAAATGTGTAATTGTTGTAGAATATTGACTTAATTCTCACTGTCACAGGTGGTTGCAGGAGCCTTTCTTAGATTTCCGTACTTGCAAATGCTCTTTGTTTTTATCAGTGAATGTGTGAGGTATATGTTGAGATTCTTTGCTTTTTCTGTTATTGCCAGTTGCCCTGAAACAGCAGAAATGTGTGTAGTGTCTGGGCAAATTTGTTGTGCAGTTTGTAGTGGATCTGATTCGAACAATCCGCTTCATTCAACCAATGGGGGGGGCAAGGGTGGTCAAGGGGTTAATTTTGTGCTCTCAGATATTTGAGATTTTGCAATCTAGCTGATTGAATCTCTCATTAGCTCTTCCTCCACTGAAGAATTTTAAACTGGTGGAGTATAGCAATCTAAATTGACTGGCTTCATGATTGACTTTGTCGGGAGTATTCAAGGTTTAATGCTTATTAATGAAAACAAATATATAAATGCATATGACACATGACAAAAAAATGTATAAACTTTAATGCTTGCTTTCTTTTTTAACCACTACGAACCTGATGCCATTTATTGGTCATTTCATTTGCAGCAACCCAATATGTAATGATTACTGTTAATAGTCTTCCAAGTTTTGTTGGATTTGTTTTGTAGCTTAAAAGAGTTGATAAGAAGATGTATCTGAATTTTTTTGTTGTGTGGTTTACAGTTTTCATTTTTTTTACAGCCCTCCAATTACTAAAAACACCTTTAAGGTGTTTGAACTAGAAGTACCTGAAGACTTGCGTGAATAGTAAGTACTTCTTAATCTAGTAATTTCACAAACACAGATCTTTCTAATTTAAATCTTTATTGAATATTTATTACAAAACTAGTCTTCTCAGCTTCTTATAATAATAAGGCTTAATACTGAAGCTCTGTTTAGGATAACTTTATGAGAAAAGAAAAATACTTGAATAGTTTTAGATGTATTTTTTACTAATGTAATATTTTAAATGTAAAAGATATTAACTTGTAGATAAGCTGACTTTGACTTCCTAGTCAACTTATCTAAAGATGATAAGTACATATACAAGCTAAAGATGATAAATACATATTTCTTTATTAAACGCAGTTTATTTCAATAAAGGTTAATTTCTTGTGAAAGATGTTGTGTACTGTTAGTTTATAAAAGCACAGCTCCCCTCTTGTATCATGAATTGATTTCCTTAGGATACAATGATAACTGTCATGCTCATAGTCAGCCATCGCGCTATTCACGGTAGGCCTACTAGCTGCTTCACGGTGTAAAACATTGCTTGTCACTTTAAAGTGTTTTATCCAGCTCTGAATTGGTTGATGGAAAGTAAGAATCATGTTCTACACTAGATGTGCCACAGTTGGAGCCTGTGACCCACTCTCCTCTTTTTTTTTTCAGCGCTCAATTCATCCTCAGAAGATAGCAAGAAATGTATAATTATAGTATAGCTATAAGAATTTGAATTCTATATAATATTGAGGCGTATATAAAACCTCAGGTGCTAAAAAAGTACTCTTGAGATGGTCTTTGTACAAAATTATTTTCTTAACCAATGTTGAGAATGTGCTAGCATGTTTACAAACAGAATTAATAGATATTCAGTGTGGTTAAGCTGTTAAAACAAAAATTCAGTGAAGTGAGCACCCTCAAATTTTACAAGTAATTCCTTTGTGCAGTTCTCAGAAAGCCATTGCATAGTATATAATTTCCATGTTCAGTAATACATACCAGTGTGAAAAACTTTTCTCACTTATGGAATGGAACAAGTCTCCAATAAGATCCAGATCAGTAGGCAGACATCCGACTCCTATTCTGAAAATTACCAGAGTCAGAAAAGTGATTCTCCAGACATCTGAAAGCTGGTTGCAGGAAAATGATATTGGGTGTTTGTAGAAAAATAATAAGTATCAGTCTACTACCAGGATTTCTGTGTGCTGCTTCAATTTTTTAAAGAATTATAGAAAAGTTTTTATGTAGTTGCTGCCATTTTAAATACATTATCAAATATGAAAACTGCCCCCTTCCACTGTAGATTATTGTACACTAATGAGTATTTGGCCTATTTGAGGAACGGAGTTTGTTATGCTTGTTCTACAGTATTATTTTTTAACTTGATGGACTAATATCATGAACCATAACGCATGCATAGCTTTCTGGAGTATGTATGATTCTGTCGTGCAGTCTGTCATGTAGTGCAGTCAGGTTTTTTACAAAAAATTTATGTCAGCAGATTGATGAAAATTTTTATCTCCATATTAACACTGCCCAATAAGATATTGGTTGGGTTATTTGAATAAGGCAAAGCACACAATGGCTATCTACCTGAGGGTAAGGATGCCTTTGTGGAGGAATTAAAAAAAAACTAACTGGCTTGTATTCATGTTACACATGGGATAATCAACCTTGCAGCCAGCACATTTGCCTGGGATTAAATTCAGGTCAACCTTCCAGAATTCAGAAGCCTTAACCATTTGACCTCTGTTGGAGCCCTACTAAATCAGAAAGCGAGTGATGTCTGTTGAACTGATTTCCAATTTTTAATGTAACACTTTGTGAGATATAAGTGACATTGCATTTTCATTACATATCTTCTATCATGAATGGTTTCATTGCATAAGAATTGGAACATTAATATATTACTTCTGCTTCAGTTCATGGGAAATGCAGTAGAAATTAACAAGATATGAACAATATCCAGGAAAATTTTTTCATGGAGAAGGTGGTTAAAAAATCTGATGTGTACACCACATGACTTCCTTGTACGGAATATTAAATTATATGCATTTCATTTAAATTTATTGGATTGAATTAAATCTACTTCGCCGACAGCGCATAAACCACCATAGAATAAATGCATTCTTTAAAATTCACTCTAGTATTTGGTGACCATAGCGACACTCTGGCGCTAGATTCACTTAAAAATTATTACTGTAACTAAATTTGTATTACGGTCAGTTTGCGCACACTGCTTCAGTACAAATTTTAAATTTTCGGTAAATACTGTTAGTTTTTTCTTTATAAAGCAAATTGTTATACACTATTAAGTAAAATAAATAAAGATAATCACCTATGTATAAAGATGACACGCTGAAAATTTCATATATGTATGACAAAAACAATTTGACTTATTAAAACTCGAAAATCAGCTAAAATTCTCACTTTTTATATTGCACAAAAGTGATGACTCCACTTCAGTATTATATTTCGTTCATATTATAACTCATAATGCACAAAATTTATATCATTTAAAGAATAGAATTATCTAATCGTTGCCACATGTTCTATTTAAATACTATAATAAAGCTAGAATGATGTATAAAAGAAATTAAGCAAACAAAACAAAAAAAGAAACAGTTTTTCACAGACAATTGAGTATTTCTCATTCAATTAATTCAGTTCTTTTTCACTTGCGAGACAAGGCAAAAATACATAAAAACTCAAAATATCTATATTAAACATTACGAAGTAAATCTTCAAACGCTTATTTCCTCGAAAAAATTCTCGAAAGGAATTAAGCATGATTTAATTGGCAATAATAAATGAAGGCGTTATCTTTGTTGTTGCGAAGCTAAGTTTCTCTAGATTGGCAACAAATCCACTAGTCCCTGTTTTCAAATGTAAACAAGCAATGGCCGCCATTAAAAAATTAGGCTTAGCGGCAACTTAAACAACTTTTAAAATTGTTGATAATTCTAAAATATTGCATACAGATTTACTAAAGGCATAAAATCCTTAACCGGAAGATAAAAACAACATAATTCAATCATTTTTAAAGCAAAAAATGTATAATTTACCAACATATAAGAGTAAAGAAACTGAGATCACTGAGCCGGGTAACAGAGTGGATATACATATATAAATATATTTATATATGTTTGGTGCGGCCGATTGCAACCAAAATACGAGGTGCACATCTACATGTTATAGCAGTCCTATATACAAAATTTCAACGTTCTGAGGCTACTTGTTTTTGAGTTATGCGACGTACATACGTTCGTACAGATGCCACGAAAAATTCTCTTTAGAATAAATTTTAAAACAGTTTTATAATTTTTTTGAAGGAAAAGAGTATTTTATTCTGTCCTTACGTACAGATATCACGCAAAAACATCGTTAAATTGCATTCGATAGCGGTCAAAATGGATATTTTCGTTGAAATATGCTGCCTGAAACTTTTCGCGATTACAATACTTCCTTTTTACTTTATACAAGGAAGCAAAAAAAGCAGAAGCAGTGCTGATATATATACTTCCTTTAATTGATCTGTGCATTGAAATAAAAATAGAAACAGTTCTCACTTTCTCTTAGCCTGGGATGAGCATGGGAAGAATGTTAACAAGAAAGAAAAGAAAAACAAAAATTTTTGTTTTACTATATATATTACCTGTGTGTAATATTTGAAGAGTGTAACTTTTTAGGCATGCTCTTTAGTGCTTGCAAGAATCAAAAGTTATGCGGTATATTTGGCAATGTATTGGCAGGTACTAATACACAAGTACCTTGAGTGTTTTCTAGATTCTTGCAGACATCTTATGTGACAGGCTCTCCTGGATATGTCTGGTGTGCACCACATTATTCATCATGTCCTGTACCATTCTGATGTGACTGGTGATAGCTTATTTTAAGACAAAGAGGTCATCAGATTGTTCAGAACATAAGAGAGAATCAAATTCCTGTACTGGAAGTCTGCAGAAATGGTTTCACAGTTGTATTACTATCATCAGTTGCATGCCTGAGAGTAGATTGTTAAGGGTATGATCTATTGAGTACCCAGTGTTTCTTGAAACCATATAATTTGATATATAGTCTGTGAGCCATCTCTTTAGACTAACCTCTGGAGTTTAATTTGTTCTATGATCTCGCCTGGATTAGAATTAGATTATAACATTCTAGGGCCATCTGCCTAAAGATGCATCCGATGCGGGCCAACTAAAAGCCCAGCGGGGTACAGTAGTGCGGCGGGGCAACACCTGTAAAAGTCACTGACGAAGTTCTGGTGCTCCAACCACTTTTCCCTGTCCCTGCCTAAAGGGAGGAATGCCTTTATGAAGGCTATATCAGAGAAATTGTCTGATTTTTCAATGCAGTGGGAAGACCATGAAAAATCCTGTGTAGCTAATTTATTCTCTAGAATTTGAATCTTTTTGTAATTAGCTCTGTTGAGCATTTTTTGTTTTACTGTCCAGCCACTGGTAGATTCAGGGATGGGATGATGGATCTACTAGGTTTTTATCTTTTTTTAAAACACAAATACCTTGATTTAGTGATTTTGGTGAGTAGCAGAAAGCAACGAAGCTGCTTGCAGCTACCAATGAAGGCCAGTAACAGTTGAAGGAGGCCTGGCAGGAGATCTAGAAGATTTTAAATGTTAGTTTTTCAGATCTATCCTCATTTAAAATTCCACTTTATAGTATTCATTTTGTTTAACATGCTTTTTAGAGCCCATTGATTTTGGTCATATTTGTGTTTTTCTAAACACACACACACATATACGAGGGGGTGTCAAATGAAAACCATAATTATTTTTTTAAATATTATTTATTGGTCACACAGGGTACAGAAGTAAGTCACTTTTCAACATAGTCCCCTCCTTGTTCAATGCAAGTCCACCAGCGCTTCAGAAGAGCCTGAATACCTGCAGAAAGAAGTCTTTTGGGCGACGGCGCAACCACTCGTGCACCGCGTTGCGTACCTCTTCATCGGAGTGGAACTTCCTGCTGCCCATTGCTTGAGTGGACTAAACAGATGGAAATCGCTCGGTGTGAGGTCTAACG